AAAAAAAAAAAAAAAAAAAAAAAAAAAAAAATCTGGAATTGGTTTGAAATTTCCACCATTAGTCATTCATTGGATTAAAACAGCTATTCCTTTCCTTTTCCTGATGGGATAATTCTCTTCACGTTGCCAAACTTTTATGATTACCATGAGGTCGATGCTGTGAAATGAAGCAACTTGCAATACAACGAACATGGCGTCATCAAGCAGCTCCCCAGTTCACAAACAAGCGATTGAGATGATGCGCTGCCTCTTGAGTTGATAGTTGGGCAACACAGATTGGACCTGGAGAGTCCCCATCACTGGATGGATGAGAGCAGGGCAAATGAATTCCAATCATATGGCGGAGACCTGCCCTGTGCCTGGGTGGGGCATGCAGGATAGCCAAGGAAGGGAGTGTTCATAAAACCCTGTCGCCAGTTTGCTGATCAGAGTTAATCGCACCAGAGGGCAAGGTCTTGAGGACATAGGACAAAAGACAAATAAGGAATTGATAGGGGTGGTGAGGGTACGAGGCAAGAAGGTCAGGAAATATTTAAACCACAGAAGACCAGAAGCCAGGTCTGCCTCGCACACAAATGAAGAAACCTTACATTGTTCCCTCTTCTGGCTATAAAATGAACTGGGGCGGGGGGGGGCACCTGGGTGGCTCAGTTGGTTGGCTAAGTGTCCGACTCTTGGTTCTGGCTCAGGTCATGATCTTGCGGTTCGTGGGTTCCAGTCCTAACTCGGGCTCTGCACTGACAGTGCAGAGCCTGCTTGGGATTCTCTCTCTCTCTGTCCCTCCCCCACTCGCACTCATGCGTGCGTGCTCTCTCAATAAACAAACAAACACACTTTAAAAAAACAGAAAAAGAAAAGAAAAAGGGACTGGGAACCCTAACCCAATCTCAACCCTGCACACGTGAACTCCTGTTTGGGATGAAGCTGTCAATGGGATCAACACAAACCTGTCCATTCCCAACCATTTTCCTGCATCAAAGAGTCTCCGCAAAGCAGGAGGCCAGGGACTTACAATCCCTCCTTCATAATGAAAATGCCAGGAAGCGGCTGATTCACAAAACCCTCACCAAGGGATGAAGTTGACATGTATTATCTTAACATCTTCAATTTTCTTTCTAAAGAAGCATGGCTCCCTTCACTTTTGAAAGTCATTTTAATGACTACTCTCCCAAAATACTAGATAGAGCCTGACTTTCCAAAATTTATTTTGGAAGAGAGAGGCCTCAAACAAGTAATTCTCAATATTATTAACATTACCACGTTCAGATAAAGCTGGTGACAATAGAAATACTTTTCTACTGGGAGAAATGTTACGTTAAAACTGGAGCTCACATTTGGCCGACTTCGGTGGGTTGACCAAAAATAGAAATTGGCTTACGTATC